TGATATCTATTCCTTCCAGAATATTCTCTGCATTTACACGTGCAGAATTTACATGTATCTTTATATCTTGGAGCTCATTTCATACCTCTGAGTAGAATCTGCCTCATTCTTTTTAACAAAACAGTCGTTGTATAAGTGGATTAGACTTCAAATGACTTTGGACAATGGGAAGTTGTACACTCTACTCTTAGCCCAGGTGACATCCTACTATTACCTCTCTCTTCACATAGCTGTAGGTGGATTCTCTCCCCACTACCCCCAGTCCCCATCGTACCCGTTCTCAGAGGTCAACCTCAAAAGTGGCAAGATCTTTGCTAACCCTCTGTGTAATTTTTCTGGTTTCTTAGGAAAGAAGAATTATCTTCTGCCTGGTGAAGTGACCAGTAGATTCTCAAGGGGGCCTAAGGGACAGTGGGAGACAGAGAGGAGGTCAGACTCTAGACCTACACTGCGCAATGGCAATACAATGCGGTCCACATGTGTGATTTTTAACTGTATAGTAGTCACTTTTTTAAAAAAGAGTAAAAAAGCCACAGGTGACATTAACTTTCATGACAATTTTGTTTAACCCACTATATCCAAAACATTATCAGTTCAACATGTAACCAATATTGAAAAATTGTTGAGCTATTTTATGTTCTTTTTTTTTTTTTTTCAAACTAGCCTTTGAAACCCAATGTGTGTTTTGCTCTTACCGCAGATCTCAGCGGAACCAGCCCCAGTTCAGGGGTTTCAATGGCCGCACGTGGCTAGCCGCTGCCCCACTGGAAAGCATAGTCCTAGACACCCGCACCTGTCGCTGATCCACGTTGAACGAACCCCTGGCTCCTCCAGGCCTCTGTTTCCTCATTTTTGAATAGAAGTTGGGTTGGATGATCTCAAGAGCTCCCCTTCATCCTAATGTCCTCTGACTTTCAGTGCTAAAAATGGAAGGTCAAGGACAAGCCCAAGCCAAGTAGGTCTTATATAGCAGCTTAATCTCACCATCTGTAAAATGGGGACAATCCACCGTCACCCTGATCAGAGTGAGGATGAAAAATATGGCAGCCGGTGAGGATGTGCTTTGGGGAGGAAGAGAAATGAGGCATGTTGTGGGGTTGGTATTAGGATTGGGATTGGCCCCAGTGAGTGCTCAGAATCCGCTCACTAGACCCCAAGGTTGCTCCCCGGGTTCACTTCTCTGAACCCCACTCACCTCATCCATGGGTAATGTGGGGCTAGGAGCTTCTCCATACAGTCTCTTCCAGGATCAAATAAGGCACCCATGCAGAGGGCTCAGCGCCATGCTTAGCACACAGGAAACTCTCTGTTGCTAGAGACAGGCTGCCGTCCCCACTGCTCTGGTTGCAGCCCAGAATGGGGAGTGGCTTGCCCAAGGTCGCAGGGTGAGATGGTAGCAGACGCTGGCCTCTTTTGGCTCCCTCCTTGTCGCTAGCAGCTGTCCTGAAAGTCAGCCGCTCATTTCCTCGCAGCAAGGTAAATGAGATAAATACACCCAAAACCGCTGAACTACTCGAACGAGGCCCGGGTCCAAGTATTGTTTCCATGGTATGTACACTGGCGTGCACGTATGTGATTTGTTTAAAATCACAGCTCCAAAGGGCAGAGGCTGGCTTGGCAGGACGTGCCGCCCAGCACCCGGCTCCCTATATTCAGAGCCCCGTGCCACGACCAGTGCCAGATTCCGCCAGATTTCCAGCAAAGGGCCCCCTCGAGATGGCACATCAATTACCTTTGGCAAAACTAGGGTGGTGCAGAAAATTAAAATTAAAAGCCAGGAAGCCCAAATCATTACGTATTATATAACAATAACAGGAAGCTCTTTCTTCTGGGCATTTGCTGTGTGAGGTTGCTGAGTACCGTGCGTCCACCATTTTAATTAATCCTTCTGGTTACCCAGGGAAGTGGTCACTGCTTAACAACCCCGTTTTACAGATAAAGAAATGGAAGTTCCAGGAAAATAAAGAACTCACCTGGAAGCACACAGACAGAGCCAGAAGGGGCCTTTAAAATCTTCCCTGGGGCAGAAGGGTCACCAGCCACCCCCATTGACCCAGGAGCCTCCTGGACACTGGACATTCACAAGCTGGGACAAATGGGTTTCCTATAGCAGCTTAATTTATTCGTCTGTAAAATGGGGATATTCAAACCTGACCTTGGTGAGAGTGAGGATAAAAATATGGCAGCACATGAGGATGTGCTCCACAGAGGAAAAGGAGGGAGACAGAGTGTTGTGGGATTGTTATTAGGATCAAGGTGGACCCTGGTGAGTGCTCAGAATCCATTGGCTGAGGCACAGGGCTTGTATCTCTCTCTTTCTCTCTCTCTGCCTCTCTCTCTCTCTCTCTCTTTTTCTCTCTTTCTCTCAGCAGACACTGAATATCCCTGCTTCTCCCAAGCCCAGCCTCCTTCCAGTTCCTTCCAAAGATCAAGTTGCCTAAGGCCAAAGTGTGAGAAACAGACCCCAACTTCCCAAGCACCAGCCAACAGCCCTTCCTGATTTGAAAACCAACTGAGAAAGAGGAAAAGCTGAGCATGGCTAGGAAGGCTTGTGGATCACTTTATTCTTTTTCTTTTTTCTTCAGCCAAGCCCGGGCTCTGTCCTTTTTAGGGTCTGGCCCAAGCCAGAAGTGGAAGGAAAGCCCTTGGAAGCCTTGCCTTCCCAAAAGCTCACCTGCAAGTCCGTTCTTTAATTAAAGAATGGAGTCCAGGGGCGCCTGGGTGGCTCAGTTGGTTAAACCACTGCCTTCAGCTCAGGTCATGATCCCAGGGTCCTGGGATCGAGCCCCACATCGGGCTCCCTGCTCATGCAGGAAGCCTGCTTCTCCCTCTGCCTGCTGCTCCCCCTGCTTGTGCTCTCTCGCTCTCTCGCTCTCTCTGTGTGTCAAATAAATAAATAAAATCTTTAAAAAAAAAAAAAAAAGAATGGAGTCCACTGCCAGACTTGGACACTCAAGAGAGATCTAGAGGTCCCAGCTATCTCTGCCTCCCCCTAAACAACAGAATATCCTGGGTTCGGTACCCAGAAGAAATGGGGCTTGGGGAGTGATAAGGAAGCAAAGGGGTCAGGGGAGGACCAATCCTCCCCACTGAGGAAAGACACAGGGGTTCTGGATGGTTTTCTCCGCAAACCGGAACCCCAGCAGCAAGATGCTGAAAGACACTCAGCTGGCCGACACACGGGCCACACACGCTCACACACACAGCAGAGAAATGACACAGCATGAGGGCAATGCATGAATACGCAGAGAGAAACACTCATACCCAGTGACGCCAGATGGAGAAGGCAGGCCGGGCTGGGCCTGGGTATTCATTATTCCTTCACCCACACAGAGGGGCTGGCGGAGTTACATAATGCAAGCTGCAAAAGGGGGAGGCTCACTTACTAACCACCCCGCCTTGAGGGGATCCAGGAAGTGACACCTCTTTCTTGGGGGATGTCTGCACCCATCTCCTGCTCACAGAGGCAGCAGGAGCTTGTCAGCTGCCTCAGCCCCCGGATGACCCCGGGAGTTCGCTAAAAGGGAAATGAGGGAGTGAGTGTCACTTTGTTAGTAGTGGCAGATGGGGGCTCCCTCCTTGCGCTAAGCATGGTGAGGATGCAGGCAGGGAAGGGTGTTCAGGATAGAGCTGGACCCTGGACTTGAACAGGGGGGTTAGAGCAAGATGGAGGGGTTCTCTGCTGCCTCCCACCTGCCCCCACTCCACCCACAACCCACAGATCACCTGCTCCAAGTCAGTCACATGGGACACACGTCCATAGCTGCCCGCTGTGTTCATCCCACACGTGTATATGCCTCACCTGGACCACAACATCCCCAGCTGGGCCCCCTGTTGCCCCTTGGCACCCCAACCATACCCCATTTCTCCAGGCCTGGGGGAGCCAGCGGGAGTTGAGAAAATAACCAGAATATGAAGTTTTTCCAACTGGAGTGGAAGTTTAAAAGCTTGGGCTCAAGAGTGGGGCAGACCTGAGCTCAAAACCTCTCTTCGCTGTCATTTCTACATGACTTTGGACAACTAACTAAACCCCTTCCCAGGCTTCTCATCTATTGAAGAGTAACCATGAGGATCAAAGGCAAATATATATATTTATATATGTGTGTGCATGTGTGTATACACACACATACATGCATACATTAAGAGCGTACTTGTTCAATAAGTGTCTGCTATGTTTAATATTTTGGGATTTTTCTTCATTCAGCAAATACTCATCGAGCACTTGTTGTGTGCTTATGATAACCCTGGGGGTACACAGTCCACTCTTCTTAATGTTTCCCCATTACGGTTGCAGGCAGTCTATGGAGTACAGATGTTCTCTAAAGTTTTGTGTGGACCCATGTCTTTGATATTTAATACACCACATTGGCTTTATAATGGTTTGTAATGTGGCCAAATCAGTCCTTTGGGGCCTGGAACTAGTCGATAGTTACAAAAATGGTCAGAAAGGACACCCTTGGAGGCATTCCCCTTCCAGTGAGTCTGTTGTGGGGACTTTGGGAGTGGCCAGGACAGAGAGCCCAAAGATCTGTGCTGGCTGAGCTCCTGACATGTGAATGGAAAATGTTTGTAAGACACAGAGAGCCAAAGGCCGCGTGACAAGTTGAAACAGTGGCTTCTCAAGATGGGAGAGATAAGAGATGAGACTGTGCTTCTTGCCATTTGATTTCTAGGCTATCGGTGGTTTCCCCAGGGAGACCTTTGGTCTCGGGGGTCTTTGATCATGGGAGATGAAACCAGGCAATTTGCAGCTAATGGGGAAGGTACCCCCTCCCCTCGAGGAGGAAGGATTTCATTTCGAGGTTGGCTTCCAAAATCCAGGGTCTTGTGGCTAGACTTCTCAGTTGGCTGCATTTCCCACCTTGCTTTGGAAGGTGGTATTGGGCAATCCACATCAATCTCTCTTTTGGAACTTCACCCCCTCCCTTGTTCCTTCTCTCCAGCACAGGCCTGATGAGCTGGTGATGCCCAGAGAATAGTGCACAGGAGCTTGCGTCATCTCGAGACACATCTAGACACATCCACCAGACACTTCTCCTCCCCAGTCGGCCTGACCTGTTGCTTAGGGACACGTCCCACGGCTTCTCCTGACGTCTGCCTGATCGACCATCACTTCCTAGAGAGAACAAGGAGGAAGGCAGACGCGTGAAATCATGCCACCAATGGCCGGATGGCAGTGAGTGGGTGACGCCGAGTTGACGTCAAAGACGGAGAAGACGAACCCAAGAACAGCTCATTCTTGAGACTCCCCGAGGCCCCAGCCCCCAGCTCTTCCTCTCAGCTCGGCGTGAAGCCTGGCTCCTCCTGGTGAAATCAGCTTGGCCTGACATATTTTAAGTCTTCGGACCCCTGGATACTAGACATCATGGAGAATCAGGTGTTCAGTGTTCAGCAGATCCAACCCAACGTCATTTCTGTCCGCCTCTTCAAGCGCAAGGTTGGGGGCCTGGGCTTCCTGGTGAAGGAGCGGGTGAGCAAGCCACCCGTGATCATCTCCGACCTGATCCGAGGGGGTGCCGCGGAGCAGAGCGGCCTCATCCAGGCCGGCGACATCATCCTCGCGGTCAACGGCCAGCCCTTGGTGGACCTGAGCTATGACAGTGCCCTGGAGGTGCTCAGGGGCATCGCCTCTGAGACCCACGTGGTCCTCATTCTGAGGGGCCCTGAGGGCTTCACCACTCACCTGGAGACCACCTTCACTGGGGATGGGACCCCCAAGACCATCCGGGTGACACGGCCCCTGGGTCCCCCCACCACGGCTGTCGATCTGTCTCACCAGTCATCGGCCAGCAAAGAGCACACACCGCCAGTGGATGGGGCCCCAGGGCCTGGCAATGGGCCCCAGCATGCCCAAGACAGTGGGCAGGGAGCCAGCTCACTCTCAAATACCAACAGCCTGGCTCGCAGACCCCTCGGCCAGGACCCTACCAAGAAAAGCACTGGGGTGGCTCTCCAGGACAGCCAGAACAGTGAACTGCTCAAAGAGATAGAGCCTGTGCTGAGCCTTCTCACCAGTGAGAGCAAAGGGATCAATGGAGGGGGACCTTCCAAGGCAGAGACAAAGGATGCGGAAGTCCAGGTAGACAGGTAAGTTCTACAGATGCGTGCGTGCGTGCGTGCGTGCATATATGTGCTATGTGCAGACATGTTCTGCAGCTCTGTACCAGACCCAGGAGACACCCTGAGCTGTTCCAGACACACACAGTCACATCCACTCGACCACTCTTGCCTCTTTCCCTTAAACCTGCAATTGTAAGAACGGAGTGGGCATCACTTCTAGCCTGTATCTCTAGCCATGAGACCCAGAGCTAAGAGTCAGGGTAGCTGATGTCGTGTCTTCCAGCAACCCCTCAAGGTGGGTACTTTTGGGATCTACAATTCACGGGGCAGAAGACTGAGGCTCAGAGGGAAGGGGGCTCTCCCAAGTCGTCCAGGAAGCGAGAGGCGCGTGTCCATGGTAGCCTTGGCATAGGGTGAGTGCCAGGGTCCCGGAAAGAGAGCGGGGATGAGCTGAGGCCTGGGTAACCCTCAGCCTAAACCAGCTGTCTCCCTGTGACAGCCGCTTGGGAGCAAGGAAGTCCCTTCCTTTAGGAAGGGACTGGAATCAAAGTAGAGAACTGGCCCCAGGTCCCCCAAAACAGTGGTCTTACTCATATTATATAGGAGCTAAAGCTAGAACATGAAGACCTGGGTCCCGGCCCCTCTGCATTTGCCAGATTGGCATTTTCTGATTCTGGAGAGGAAAAGAGCAGGCGATACAGTGGGTGATTCTAACTCCTTCTTTGGGGAGGAATTGGCAGCTGGGCTAGGGGGTCAGAGAACAGTGGGTCCAGAGATATGAGAGGGAGGGAAGTTTCTCTCTGCCCCCTTCTGCTCTCATCTTAGATTAGCACTAACCCTACAGCCCCTACTTCTTATCCACCCCCCACCACAGAGGAGGCTCAGGTGTGGGGCCACCCGGAAACCCAGGCCAAGATTTCCCAACCCCAAGGTCCTCCCCAAGGACCCCTGAGTGTCTGGAGAGCCTTTAGAGGTCTCCATGATATCCCTCAGGGACCTGGATTAAAGCACCTCTCCAAGCCCCTGCACTGATGCATTCAACAAATGTTCATTGAAGACCTACTGTGGCCAGACAGTGCTCTGGGCACCAGGGATGAAGCAATGAATGGAACAGACAAACCCTCTGGCCTTGTGAGTGAATGAAATAGACAAGCCCCTTGACCTCGGGGAGCTTATGGTGTAGTGGAGAAGACGAAGAATAAATGAGATAAAGATGTTAAAATATGTAGGCCATCAGTGATATGTGCTAAGGAGATAAATGGAACAGGGAAAGGGTCAGGAAGTATTGGGGAGGGTGAATTTTAGAGAGAGAGAGGCTGGACAGGTCTCAAGGAAGGTGACATTGGAAGACCCGGAGGAAGAGGAAGAAGGGCGCCTCAAAGCTTTATGGAGGAGGGACATTCCAGGCAGAGGGAATGGCAGGTGCCAAGGTCCTGAGGTAGGAGTGTGCCTGATGTGGTGGAGGAACTGCCCGGGTTCCAGTCTTCTTTCCTGATGAGTCAGCCCCCAAACTGCACTTTGAGGGGGGCGGAGCTCAGTCTGTGGCACCCCACCTCAGCCCGCCATTGCTTCCTGGAGCTTTTCTAACTTATCACACCTGGGCAAAAACCAAGCCGATTCCAGCAAGACCCCAAGAGGGAAGATGAGCCTGTGTCAGAAGCCCCCAGAGGTCCCCTGCTCCCCCTTGAGCTCCTGTCCCCCAACCTGCTCCCTTCTGTCTTCTGCGCATTCCTGGGGGCAGCTTGGAGTGTCCCCCATGCTTTTGGTCCCATCTCTGCAGGAGACAGAGAGTTTTGGCCCCATTACCCAGGACATGGTGTGACCCTCTTGGTGGAGCAAGTGGCTGGGAGCCCCTATCGTCCTGACCTTCCTTTCTGGAGCTGGAGGCCAGGATGGGTCCTCGGGGCTGTCCTGGCTTGCGGAGATTGGGGCACAGTTCACCCACAACTAGCATGGAGACCCCCACTCCAGGCAAGAACCCAGTCCTCGGGGGGCTGCCACCTCCCAGGGCTCCCTACCGCAGCGCCACCGTAGAGATGACAGTCTTGACGTAGCTTCTGGGAAGCCAACAACCTCCAAGTCTCATTCAGTGGCTTTAAATCCTAAAGCCGTTGTCGAGTCCAGATTGAATCACTGGTCTGGTTTTCCGGGAGACACCAGAAGTGCCTTCCTTCAAAGATTCCTGGGCATAACCCCTTCCTCAACAGCCCTTCTCCCAGGAATTGCAGCAGGACCCTGAGTAAGAGTGGCATTCCCTGCTAGGGGCTGGATCTAGTGTTCCATACACTTGGTTCTGATTCTCAGCTGGGCGGGGGGCGGGCATGGGGTCAGGAGCGTTGGAATTCCCTGGGGCTTTATTTCAGCCCTACCCCAGACCCAGGAGCCTGAATCTCCCTGTGTGATATGGAAAAGTCCCCAGCAGGTCCCTCTCCCTCCCAGAAGCCAGGATGACCCTCTCCCAACTGACAGGGCAGGCAGCACACACAAGCCCAGCGCAGGACACTAGGCTTGGGGGAGGTCATGAAATATGAAGGACTTGAACAGGAGCCCTCTTATCCACCAGGCCTGAGGGGCCTCTCCAAACACCAACTCAGAAAAGCAGCCTTCATTTCCCCGAGGAGGGGGGATGGCACGCTGGTCTGACATGGGATCTCCTCCAGCATACCTGTTTTCCCAAATTGGGAGGCTGCACCTGAGCTCTCAACCTGCCCTCATCCATCACAACCTCCCCTCCAGTGACCAAAAGGAGCAGAAAACACTGCTTTGGAGGAGGTGCCGTTTGGAAGAAAGTGACTCAGGGCAAGTCCAGGGCTCCATGACCCCTGCTGAGGGAAACAGTTCTAAGGATGAGTATTCAATACTAGTGCGTATTCCCCTGGCTCAATCACTCACACCTGTGCTGGACCCAGAACCCACCCCACCCTCCACCACTTTAACAAATATTTTTAAATGCCCCCTTTACTAACCAGGAGCTAATTCATGGATCATATAACCTACTCACGCTTTACATTTGTTAATAAATATAATGCCCTAACTATAAAATAAAGGAGACCAAGAATAAAAGTAATTTACAGTAGGTACGCCTGGGTGGCATAGTCACTTGGGCGTCCGACTCTTGGTTTCGGCTCAGGTCATGATCTCAGGGTCGTGGGATCGAGTCCCGCGTCAGGCTCCATGATCAGCGGGAAGTCTGCTTGGGTTTCTCTCTCCCTCTCCCTCTGCCCCAACCCCCTGTGTGCTCTCTCTCTCTCTCTCTCTCAAATAAGTAAATCTTTAAAAGAAAGAAAGTAACTTATAGTAACAGAAGCTATAATGTAATATATCAGTGCTCAGATATCCGCCCCTGCAGGTAGAATTAGCCCGCACACAAGTGTCAAATGCAGATTTGACACAAGCATGTTGTTTTGGCAGCTCAGACACCACCAGCAGTGTCGCCTTACTGATGTGATGATGTGATTTTCCACAGTGGTGACCGGACTCCCAGTAAAACGATGTCCTGTCTTTACCCAGTGGTTGCAAGAAGGGAAAATTCGGTGTATCTTAAAGCCACATTTATATGTAAGACCAAATTGGGATCTTGGCTCAGGAATCTCAGCTTACGTTGGATCTAGGTGGATGTCCAAAAGTTGCGTGGCAGCCAGGCCCCTTCTTCCTAGTGTGGGTTTGTCCCGGGCACTAAAGGATGTCGTTTTTGGGGTGGGGGTCGGAGCTGGCTTCTGGATGGCCAGGTGACGGTGAGGCTGGCCGCCCACCAGACCTGGAGCCCCACATCCTGGTCACAGGCAGCAGTCTCTGGCTTCTGGGGGGCCAAGCAGAGGCTGGGGCCATTCCTGGTTTTCAGCAGTGCCCTTGACTTTCCTGTTCTCTTGGCCTCGTTTCCTTTCTTCCCTCTTTCCTCTTGGACACAGACCTATTCTCCTGCTTCATCTAGTTCCTTTCCCTCTCGGGGCATCCCTGGTCCTGTTGTTTGGGGGTGCTGGCCCTTCGCTGGGGGGAGACATGATGGTTAGTCTAGACGCAGCCTCACCCTGGATCCCAGGGGGAAGGTGGACCTGGCGGGTGGTGGCAGCACGTGGGGTGTGTAAGGAAGGGAAATCTGGGGGCTTCTGGGACCTTCTCCCCTTGGGAGCGGTCACTTTAAAATGCTGCGTGTCAGAGGATATCCAGGTTGTTCAGCTTGCTGCCCTGAAGGAGGGTTCTAAAGAGGCCAACGTCCCTGGTCCAGCATCCATCTGGACCAGCCGGTCAGCCTCGCCCTGCACTGTGATCACTTCCCTTCCACCTACAGGGTACTCGGGTACTTACAGAGTACCTTCCCAACAGCCGTGTCTTCAGAGCTGGGGTGAATTCCGCTTCCTAAGTGGGCTGTGTGGTTTGGGCCCCCTTATCGACAAGAAAACTGAAACTCCGAGAGGTGGAGCAGTTTGCCCAGAGTCACACAGCACTGGCCACAGGGTGCTGTCTTGCTTCTACCTAGAAGTCTCTCCGTGGGCATCTACAGTTAAAGAGAAACCAAGCAAGAGAATGTGGTTGGAGGCACAGAAGTCAATTGCCACCCTAGAGAATGAGCTTAATTGGGGAGAGGAGGTCTTCTGTGACAAGCCTGTGTTTTATGATCATGATGCGGGTCAACATGTACTGAGCACTCCATGTGGGCCCGGCCCCATGCAAAGGTCTTGACATTGATGAATTCCTTTGCTCCTCATAGCACCCCGTTTTCCTAATAAGCAAACCAAGGCTCAGAGAGGTGCAGTCACTTGTTCCAGGTCACATAACTTGCAAGAGACAAAGCCAGGACTTGACCTCGAGCCCAAGCTCTTGGCTGCTACTAGCATAGATAGCACTGTTGGCCACCCTGTACTTGACCACTAGCCGTCAAGTTGCTGAGGACCTTGGAGTATTTTCTCAGTCTGGAAGGGAGAGAGATATGAGAGATAGCACCCCTGGAGAACGGATCTCAGACCAACCAATGAGAGCATTGACTCCGGGACGGTCTGCAGCGAAGGAGCCCCTCTCTGGCTGCACTT